GTGTTTCTCTAGGTCAAACACATTAAAATTTTACTTTAATCGCTCAATGGATATTTTCTAATGCCTTCTATGTGGCCATCACTCTAAAAGAGACTGACTGCAAAGAAGTCTAAGAAAGATGACTGACCTATTCCTAAATTGGATAAAAACTAGCTAAAGGGATATAACTATTATAAATTTAGCAAGCTGAAAACTATTTTAGTATTAACAAATTGATGACATCAATAGGGACAATAGAGATTCAGAGGAATAGGTTTACGGCTGGAAGTTGGCCTAGACAGATAAGGTTTTATGCAGTAGAAAGGATTCGTTGGGCCTGAAGGATGAGTAAGATCTGTATGGGCAAAGATTGGAGAGAAGGGGACTTTCAGGCATAAGGAACAACAAGAAAGAAGGCATGATCTTGGACGTGAACAAGGTATGTGCATTTTGGCCTAAGTAAACACATCTGATAATAAATTGGATGCAGGGAAAAGCAAATAAAATGTCTTTTTAGACAATAGAGAAAAGGAATCCTAAAGCCTTCAATAGAATACAGACAATCAGGGCCAAGGCCAGCCACTAGGAAACTGGGGATCCAATTTAGAAATGTAGACCAGATGTGAATGTGAAAGGGGGCCAGCTCCTTCTGTGGACACCTCATGTCCTAGGGACCGCCCTTCTTCTTCAATGGGCTCTGCAAGGTAGGTTACCCCATCCCTCAGAGGAGGAGAAACCTAAGGGTTTCTGTAATGAAGACTTTAGCAGTGGTATGAAGGTGTTGCCTCTCAGTTGCAATTTGGCAAAGGAACCAGAGTTTCCATAACTCCTGGTAAGTCTGCCCAGGCTCACTGCTTCCTGATGCTCACCAGAGGCTCAGTGGGACCCAGAGTCAGTGTTGCTAACTAGGAACACTTCTGGGTTCCTAGTACCTAACTTACAAAGCACAGATTTTGTGGGAAGGAAGCTTTTAATCACTGTTGTGCCCCTATGCATCCAAAGCACTAGAACATTTGGACATGTGCTTCTGTGGTCAGTTTTGAATTAAAATGAAAGGTTAGGATCTAGCATAGCTGAACTTCTGCATTGAAAACTTGATCCCGTCTTGCTAAGGCCAACTTCTGAGATGTCATCAGTGGTAGGATGTGTGTTGCTAAGATGGGACAGGATGCCTCTCCTCCCAGGGCTCTGACAGATGGACCCCTAAAGACCTCCAAATTAAAAGTGACTCATTTCTTGTCTTCAGACAAAAAGAGATGGTTGTGCTAGAGGTACATGGGAGCGGAAGTAAAAGGGGTTAAAAAAAAATCAAGTTTAAGAATAAGTACCCAGTATATATATACAATGGAATATTATGCAGCCATCAAAAGGAATGAGATCTTGCCATTTGCAACAACGTGGGTGGAACTGGAGGGTATTATGTTGAGTGAAATAAGTCAAACAGAGAAAGACATGTATCATATGATCTCACTGATAGGAGGAATTCTTAATCGCAGGAAACAAACTGAGTGTTGTTGGAGTGGGGGTGGGGTGGGAGGGATGGGGTGACTGGGTGATAGACACGGGGGAGGGTATGTGCTCTGGTAAGCGCTGTGAATTGTGCAAGACTGTTGAATCTCAGATCTGTACCTCTGAAACAAATAATGCAATATATGTTAAGAAAAAAAAAAAGAAGAAGAAGAAGGTAGCGGGAGGGGAAGAATGAAGCGGGGGAAATCGGAGGGGTAGACGAACCATGAGAGACGATAGACTCTGAAAAACAAACTGAGGGTTCTAGAGGGGAGGGGGGTGGGAGGATGGGTTAGCCTGGTGGTGGGTATTGAGGAGGGCACATTCTGCATGGAGCACTGGGTGTTATGCACAAACAATGAATCATGGAACACTTCATCTAAAACTAATGATGTAATGTATGGGGATTAATATAAGAATAAAAAAAAAAAAAAAAGAAGAAGTACCCAGGGCGCCTGGGTGGCTCAGTTGGTTAAGCGACTGCCTTCGGCTCAGGTCATGATCCTGGAGTCCCGGGATCGAGTCCCGCATCGGGCTCCCTGCTCAGCAGGGAGTCTGCTTCTCCCTCTGACCCTCTTCCCTCTCGTGCTCTCTGTCTCTCATTCTCTCTCTCTCAAATAAATAAATAAAATCTTTAAAAAAAAAAAAAAAGAATAAGTACCCAGCTTTTCTTACCAAAAAGTTCTGACAAGCAAGACTTTTGCAAATCTGATGGTTACTAGGCCATTTATTTCTCCAACACTTGTTTCTTGAGCACCTGCTATACGGCAGCCACTAGGTGAGCTAGAATGTTTTCTCTCAAGTCCTCTCTGTGCCCTAGATGAGGAGACCTTCATCGGAAAACTCTTCATGTTGGCAAGCAGGTGAAGCTCTATTCATCTAGGGCACATAAAGGACTTGAGAGAAAAAATTCAAGCTCTCCAGATCATGGCAGCCCCTGAATTTCATGCCAGGAAATTTGGGCATTATTCTATGGGCACTAGGGAGTCCCTGAATTATTCTGAACAAAAAGCGGTGCAATCAGCTCTAGGTTTTAGACAAGTACTTTGGAGGATGAGCTTGAAAAAGAGAATGGGGGGACGAGGGGGAGGGGAGCAAGAGAGGAAATCAGAGGTAAGGAAGCTGGACAGGAGAAACAATAGCAAAAATGCAGATAGGGAAGCCCAAAATGAATGAAGTCTTGGTAAAAACAAAACTTGAGAGCAGCGAAAATCACCTCAAGTCTTCTGACTTCGTTGATTGTTATTTCATGTTGATCTCTCACTAGCGAAGTTGAGCAAAAATTGGCCTTTCCCTGATGGAGTCACCCCCCACCTCACAGACTTAAAGATGGCTTTTAAGGCCCACAATCAGCCCTTTCCTCAAAAATCTCATGTTCTCTGGCATAGCTCTCTCCAGACCAATGCTGTCCAATAGAACTTTCTGGGACAATGGAATTGTTCTGTCAACCTGCAGTATCCAATATGGCGGCTACGATGCTCTTAAAATGAAGTTTTAATTTTTTTTTAAAGATTTTATTTATTTATTTGACAGAGAGAGACACAGCGAGAGAGGGAACACAAGCAGGGGGAGTGGGAGAGGGAGAAGCAGGCTCCCCGCAGAGCAGGGAGCCCGATGTGGGACTCAATCCCAGGACCCTGGGATCATGACCTGAGCCGAAGGCAGTCGCTCAACCGACTGAGCCACCCAGGCGCCCGAAGTTTTAATTTTTAATGGAATTTTAATTTGATTTCATTTGGGTTAGTTTTAATTTAAATAGCCACATGTAGCTAAAGACTATCATATTGGACAGCGTGGTCTAGACCTTCTTCAGCCTGACACTTATTGGCTCTAGGACTTGAGTGAGTGTTTAACCAGGACTCAGAGTTGGACATCGGGCCCCCACCACAACCCCTTTTCCCCTGTCAGCCCAAACTGCACTGGTGGCACCTTATCCTCTGCCTTCTCCTCAAGGCCACATTCCCTCACCACTTTCATACCCTTCCACATCCCCCTTCCCAGTCCCACCCGTGACTCCCACTGAGGACTAACAAACCCATTGGGGTATGCTGGTGGCACATAATGGCTTCCCGTCTCTCCTTTCCCTGTAAAAGATTTATGCCCAAGGGCCTTAACCCACAGTGATATCAGACCCCCACCCCCAGCCCCAGATATGGGGACATTGGAAAGGAACAGGCAGTATCCCTTGGGGCCGGAGCTTTGGATGTCCCTCACATGGGACCATGGACCCACCCCTGTTCTGCTCCAGAGACAGCCCCACACCCTTGACTTGACACCCTTGGGATGCCTTGACTCAGCAACTCAAGGCCATGCCAAAGGCTGATGTCCCTGGTTTCAGGTCCAGCTGGAAGTCTGCATTGCCAAGGCCACCCTGGCTGGCCTCACAAGTGAGGTACACTCCTGGCCTGAGAAACTTTGCATGCAGGGTGGGGAGCTGTGGGAGCAGAGAACCACAGGGGGAGGAAACTCTAGTCCCAACCCTGCTGTAAACTCTCTGGGTGGCCCCAATGTGTTAACCCTCCCAGCAAACCTCTGTTTCCTCTTCTAAAGGCAGGAGGTCTGAAAGAATAAACAATGAGAGTTACATTAAAAACACAAAATCCTACAGAAATACTGAAGAATGATTCTCAGCAAAAGGAAAAGCCTCCAGCAGCCCCTGCTTCCCGGGGGTGAAGAGTAGAAATGGACTGTATATAACTCAGTAGCACATTATCATGGCAATATCCTGGTATTATCAAGAGCTGCAATTACTTTCATTTGTTCAGTACTGTTAAACATAATTTTATAGAGAGGAACTTCTCCTTTGATTTTCAGAATAACTTGGTTAGGAAGGTGGAGGAGGCAATGTCTCCATTTTACAGATGAAATTTGTGACCCTTAGGGAGCTGATGTGACTTGTTCAAGGCCTTGTATCTAGTGAATGGTAAAGCCAGGACTGGGATGCGGGTGTTCTGATTTATTGTCTAAAACTTTTATCAGTGAGAAATCTCCTGGTGATGTGACCGATCTTCCATCTTAATACCAGCCGATAATAAACCTCCAATTCCTGTCCATACCCACCCTAATTTGGGGGAGGCCACCCCTGATTCCAAGACATCTGGTTTGCTTTGCTGGGCCTCTATTCTAAGCTTGCTTTGTCCTGCCAGACCAATGTTGTTGCTTACTAGTCCCGCTGTGCTTTTGAAGAAGTTCCTATTAAGTAAAAGAATGAACAGTATCATTAAGTAGCCCTGCATTTCTGGTTTCCTTGAATTGCAGGCAGGGCCAGGCAGAGAGCCTTCCCTGAGAGCCTGGCCTCTTGGCCAGGACTCGTGGCTTATGCTTGGCCCTGACTCCCAGTCCACTTAGAGCAACTGGTTTCCAGAATGTTCTTTCCCACCTAAAGCCTGAGAATGTGACTTGCCAGCCCCACGGAGCCCTGCTCTTGCCCATCACTGGCATCTGGCCTCAGGCCTGGGTTGGGGCAAGGAGGGAAATGAGCATCTCCTAACCTGGGTTCTTTTGGCCCACAGATGTCAAGGACCCTGACCCTGCTGTGTACCAGCTGAGAGGCCCTAAGTCCAGTAATATCTCAGTCTGCCTGTTCACCGATTTTGATTCTGAAACCAATGTGCAACAACCGCAGGGGCCCACGGTGATCGGCTTGAACAGTACGGTGCTGGACATGAAGGTGATGAATTCCAAGAGCAATGGGGCCCTGGCCTGGGGCAGCAGCACCGATTTGAAATGTAACAGTACCTTCAACGAGGAATTCTACTCCAGCTCCGGTAAGTGCAGCCTCAGTGCCTGTGCAAGCCGAGTCTCCCCACTCGGAGACACCCGGTTCTTCCGGGAGCTCAGGTGGTTGGCATCTAAAAGCTGCTCTGATGGGTGGTCTCGGCCTCATCCACTGTCAGCAAAGTCCCTCTGCTCTCGTTACTGAGCATCAGTGCGCTCCATCCTGGCGGGTCGCAGAATGTCTTAGGCAAAGAGCAGAGGGGGAGAAGGTGGCAGGAAGGGCACTGGCTTCTCACCCGCCCTGAGTTCCTGCCTCCCTACCTCTGCTCAGGCTGTTTGCCCCTCGCTTCTCTGCCAGGCCCCCGTCTAATGCCCTTCTCCGAGATACCTCTCCTTGGTTCTGCCTCTCTGCCAAAGATCCAACCTTACCCAGTCGTTCATTCATTCAGCGAACACTGGTTGTGCATATACCTACCACGTGCCAGGTGCTGGAGTGGAGGAGTAAATAAATCAGATGAGGGGTCTGCCCTGAGCAAGCTCCACTGTAGCTGGGGAAGGCCGTCCATCAGCAAGCAGAAATCTAGAGAACTTCAGACTGTAACATGTGCTTTAACTTGGGGATGGAGGAAACAGCCAACTTAGGGACAGAGAGTCTGGGAAGGGCTCTCGGGGGAAATGCTAGGTGAGATGAGAGTTAAAGGATAAGCAGGGAGCGGCCGGGCCGAGGGTAGCGGGGGAGCCTGTGGAGGCCTGACTCAGGGGCACGGCGAGAAGGGGAAGAGTAGCAGGACAGGAGATGGACGAAGTGGGGAAGGGCCACATCACAGGGCCTCCTAGGGTGTGACAGGGCAGCCACTCTCCTAAGTCCAATGAGAAGCTACCGATTCGGTTTTTAAGTAGGAGAATGACATCCACTTTACTTTTTTCAGAGAGCACTCCGACTGCTGAGTGGCAAATGGATTGTAGGGGCCAAGAGTGCCAGCAGAAAGGCCAGCTGTTGCAGCAGATGATGGCGGCCCGCACGGCGGGGAGCAGGGCAGTTGCGTGGCCAACCCGATTTCAGATTCAAAGGGAGAACCGTGCAGGGGTGCGAAGGAAAGAGGAGATCAAGGAAGGTGGCTGGATTTTCTGCCCCAGCCGCTGAGTCAATGACAGCGCCATTGACTGAGCTGATGACAGCAAAGGAACAAATTTGGAGTGCAGGGGTGGAGACTCTGTGGGACACAGGAAAGCATCCACACCCCTCATGGCACTTGTCACTGTGTGGTGTCTTACTGCCTCTTTCAGACTGCAGACTGGAACCTACCCAAGGGCAGGCTGTGTGTCTGATGGTTCCTTGTGGCCTTGTGTCGGGTGACAGGTACTTTGCACAACCAGTGTTCGTGAAGCGAATGGAGTGGTCCCTGGAAGCCAGAGCCAGTGGCTCTCCCAGCAGGGGTCCACAGGTGACAAGTCCCCTCCAGACCTCTCAAGGAGAGAGCATGGAAAGCCTGTAGACAGAGGCTCATCTGCCCAAATCCTAGGAGGTCTGACATGGGAGGGTCAGCACACTCAACTCTAAGAAAATGTCTTTGTTTCTCCTTTTAGACTTTTCCTGTAATGCCACTTTGATAGAGAAAAGCTTTGAAACAGGTAAGAGAGGGGTCTATCCCAGCTTCAAGATGTACCCACAATCACCCTGACTAGATAGGAGAGGGGGGAAGGGATATGTGGACCTGGAATGAAGTTAGGAAGAACGAGAACATTCTTGAATCAACCAGGCTCCTCTCACCATCTCTAATGTTCTTTCCCCCTCTAAGGACTTTCAGGATGAGTCTCTAGTTTCCCTAGACCCCATGAATCACTCCTAGGGCTCTGGAGAACCAAAGAGAGTTTCTCCATAACCCAGCTTTGATATTTCCGACTGGCTCATGCAGAGCCCTGAACTCACCAGCTCCTCCCAAGGGCATGTTCCCTCTGTAGCAGTAGCTGGGGTCCTGCCTTCTTTCAAGAAAAGCAGCAGAATCCATGTAGGCGGGGGTCTCGTCTCTCAGGATCCCCACCACTCCCGGCCCCCTGCCCTGGGCCCATCCATTTCCATCTCAGCTGTTTTCACGGAATTGTCCCTCTTGGGGTCCAGGCACCAGCTTCTCACTCAGAGACCCAGACCCAAGGGATTACAATGAGTTCTGAGCCCTGCCCCATCCCCACTCCTGAGGGATGCAGCATAAAATAAGGACTGAGTGCAGCTGGTGTTTTCCTTTGAAATGGAATACTGTTGACCCTGGAGGAATATACAGATCTGCTTAGGAAGGGATATACACCCAAGCTCAAAGAGAGGGGTGGGCCAGGAGCTAAAGCCCACCCTCCAGCCACCTTTTGGGGAAAACCATGGGTGGGTCACAGGGGCTGTGCAGACCCCCGGGGTACATGCGATAACCTCTTGGTTTTGCAGATATGAACCTAAACTTCCACAACCTGCTAATGATCGGGCTGCGCATCCTCCTCCTGAAAGTGGCCGGGTTTAACCTGCTCATGACACTGCGGCTATGGTCCTGCTGAGGTGAGCAGGCGTCTCAGGTGGGAGTGCGGGCTGCGAGGGTCTCAAGGTGGGTCCCCAAGCTCTTGCTTTTAGGTCCTAAAGCGGGGCCCACCAAACTCCTCCACTTTTTCTGGTTAGGGGTTTGTATTGCTGATAACAGTGGCCTAGAACATTGCTAGGACTCCTCAGGGGACAAGAGGCACCTCAGTTGAGCCATGTCTCCCCTACGAATTAGGAAGAACAGCTGTTATTCTCCTCGTTTTGGAAAGAAAGACGCTGAGGCCAAGTCACAGCAGGGGCCACCCACACAGAGTGGAAACATAAGAGAAACGCAGGACCCAGACTCATTTAGGCCCATGCCTTCTATCGTACCCTGTTCACTGCAAAACCCAGAGGGACCCCTGCTTCCTTTCATCATGTCCTCTGCCCCTAGTACGACGCGAAGATACTATGCTCCCATTATGCCCTAATCCCAGCTAGCATCTCCATACCCTTCTCTCCCCGTGTCCCTGGTCATCCTACCGACAGGTGCATCCTGCCCCACTACCATCCACAAGAACTCCAGTGTCCCTTTGCTCCTAGAACTCTATAAATAGAGGCATCTCCATCCACGTCCCTAGCTGTCCTGTCTCCTCGGTATCCAGCCTAACCACTGTTCTTCCTCATCCCAGGTCACCAAGACCGTGAGAGAGCCCGGCACCCCCTCGCTCCCGACTCCCCACCCTGCCCCTCCCCCCTCTTCAAGCAGAGAGGCAGACTCTCTGCCCCCGTGGACAAGAAGGCTCCCTCTGACTCTCTGGCCCCACTGGCAATGGCCATCAACTGGCTCCCACCCAATAGCCATGATCGAGATGCTGAAGAGCTGCCGAACACTGCCTCCGCCCCCTCGGTTCCCACACTGCTGCTTGCCACAGGCCGGACGCTCCGGCAAAGGCAGGGGGCTGCTATGGAGAGACGCGCTGCCCTCCCCCCCCCCCGAGATCAACTCTTATGTCCCCGGGGTGAGGGATCCCCGGTGGGTCCTCTTGGCCTCTAGCTCCCGGAGAACGCTGTGAGGAGTTTATATTTTTTAAATAGTGTTCATCAGGAAATATGTATCACCCTTTTTCCCCAAGATGTGGGGGAAACTATTGTGGAGGCCCTGCTGTGCTGTGTGTCTGAGCCACGTTGTATATTCTGCTACCCATGGCTTCATTAAAGGCAATATGAATGAGCCGGGACAGTGCTCCTGTTTGACTGGGTTTGGTCAGGGTCACGTTCGCCTTGCTATTGATCCCTGGCTGGGCAGAAAGAAACCAAGGCTTTTGTGCTGATGTCGCTCAGGAAGCCTAACTCAACAAGCTGCTGAAGTCAACCTCTTCCTGGAACGACCTCTAAAAAAATTCCACTTAGAAGGCTGTGCTGGGGGCCAGGCAAATCCACTTAAAAGTTAAGGTCCCTGCTCTTCCGTTTTCCTGCCACACCACTGGGCCACCCGTAGCAGGAGGCCATGCCCATGACTGATCAGGACTGGCAGTGGAAATTTGGCAGACAGGGACCACACAGCAAGTATCCCCAAAATGCCACCCACTGTCTCCTGCCCTCCGGGACCATTTCCTTTGCCTTTTCTCTCAGACCAGATTCCCGCTGAAACTGTGCCTTGCCCCCACAGATTCATGGCTGGAGACCACCCACCACTCCTCTGCCTGGGTCCCAACCCAATGCCCCAACTTTGGGGTGCCCAGTCTAAATAGGGGAAGGGGTTGAAGATTAGCCAGACTTCCTACTCCCCACCCCCCAGCCTGGATATAAGAAATGAATCCTCTCGGGCGCCTGGGTGGCTCAGTTGGTTAAGCGACTGCCTTCGGCTCAGGTCATGATCCTGGAGTCCCGGGATCGAGTCCCACATCGGGCTCCCTGCTCAGCGGGGAGTCTGCTTCTCCCTCTGATCCTCCCCATCTCATGCTCTCTGTCTCCCATTCTCTCTCAGATAAATAAATAAAATCTTTAAAAAAAAAAAAAATGAATCCTCTCCCCTCAAGCTCAGGGACTCTGCCAAGGAGAGTCTTAAGCTCTCACCTAGCGGACAGGACGTAGGGCCTCCTGGGGCCCCTGGTATTCTTCTGAGCCTGAGTGCCTTTCCTGAGGTCATGGCTACTGATGGGAACACCCCTCAGAGAGGCAGCCACCCTCCTCACAATTACTGCCATCAAGCCCAGGGCTTACCAATTTGCAGAGGGAAGGGAGGGTCCTGTCCCCAAACACCTCTATGGTTCACGCGTGTGTCTGTCTCTGACAGAATCAGCCAGAAATCTGCAAATCCTCCCAGCTACAATTCAGGCCTGCATCTTTTCACGGGGATAGAGCCACCGGCTCAATAGGGGTCTGGGCATGTCCCTCCCTTCCATGAGCTCCAGGGTTACCGTCTATAAAATGTCATCTAAGACTGGGAGGCTGCATGCACCTCTGGTTCTGTGGCCTCTGTGGAGGCGGGCAGTCATGGAATCCTCAGTTCTCGCTGAGCCCCCTCATCTGTAGCCTATGTGCACGTCTCTTTAAAAATCACTAAAGGGGGGCGCCTGGGTGGCTCAGTTGGTTAGGCGACTGCCTTCGGCTCAGGTCATGATCCTGGAGTCCCGGGATCGAGTCCCGCATCGGGCTCCCTGCTCGGCGGGGAGTCTGCTTCTCCCTCTGACCCTCCTCCTTCTCATGCTCTCTGTCTCTCATTCTCTCTGTCTCAAATAAATAAATGAAATCTTAAAAAAAAATAAAAATAAAAATAAAATAAAAAAATAAAAATCACTAAAGGGGACAGCCACAGAGGACACCCCGTCATTGCGGGTCCCTCTCACACACAGGAGGACAGGTACCACCTTCCCAAAGGTGAGGTTCTGCCCCCTGCGGAAAACCGAAAACTGCCTCCTCACCAATGACACGATGCCAGAGATCCTGCCATTGGGAATTTCTTTTAATTAAAGCATTCTCCTCCCCCTATTAAATGGAAATGCCCCTGGGAGGGTTAATAGAGCAAGCCTTTATTAACCGTCAAAAACCTAAGGCAAATAAGTTTATCTTTCTTTCCTCCTGAAGTAGTAATTCACTTCGGTCTGTATACAAAAGATCCAGGCAAGGGATGTGTGGGTGGCCGGGGAGGCAGCTCTACTCCTCAGAGTTTGCAGCAAAGATGCTGAGGCTGAAGGGGACACGGGGGCTGAGGGCAGGGGACAGGAGCAAGGACCCTGGGAGGCAGTGAAGGGGCTAAAGACAGAGCCCTCCAAGAACCTGGGAGGAGGCCAGGGGAACTTATGGAGTCATGCCATCCCAGGGCCCTCAGTGGCCAGGGCCCTGAAGTCATGAACCCCAAAGGCCACCCAAGGACCTATGAGGTGATGGGCAGTGGCTGGGGATCCACCCAGACCCACGGAGGGGGCAAGGGTTCCTCCTTCCGGGCCCAGCCCAAGCCAAGGGTGACAAGGCCTCAGGCACATAGGAGGCCATCTGGAAAGCAGGGTCAGCACACCCCCTGAGACATTTCCATCTCAAACCAGGGCTCCTCAATCCCAGCAAGAACCTTCCCTCAAGGCTAAGGCGGTTAAGCCTAAAGGCAGTTAGAGTTGAGTCAGAGGGCAGACAGGGAGCAAGTGGGTGTGCTGAGGGGGTGATACAGAGACTCCCCTCCTCTTCATCCACTCTGTTCTCACCTCTGCCCCCACCACCACCTAGGGTGTCAGAGGGAATTAAAATACCCTTACGAGGAGGCCCAGACAAAGGGTTCCTGTGCACCCTAGGAGGTCAGCCCTGGGCCTGGGGTCACAGCAGCAGAGCCCCTCAGGGCAGTAAGGCACCAAGCACTGCTCAGCCCGGAAGGAAGAGGCTGCTGAGGAAACCCTGAGACACAGTCATCACATCCATTCAAAGGCCCAGCCCTGGAGAGGCCCAGGCCTCATGAACAGAGACCAGCCTCAAGGAGACAAGTCCTCTGTCCCACTAGGGAATGTATCACCAAGGCCAGCTGTAGAATGGATTTGTCTGGATAGATACCCTCCTGCCCTGAAGAGCTTAATTAAGCACAGGCCAGCCCTGGGGGCAAAAGAATGAACCAAATGACTTCTCACCACCCCAGTTCTAAGATTCTAGAAGATTCTCTGACACTTCACCCAGAGACCTGCCCCCTCAGTGTAATTGGAATCACTGTCCCCTCAAGAGAATGGGGCTAAGCAAGTTGTGCTTCAGGGACACCCTGAAGTGGGGTGGGGTCTTCAGCTCCAACCAAGTGACCCCCTCTGCCATGACCCACCATTGGAGAGGAAGTCATCTGAGTCTTGAAGGGTTATTTATCTTCTTGGTTTGCCCATTGAAATCCCACTCCCACGGGTCACATGGAAAGCCTTAACAGATACCACCTTAGTTATCAATATCTTGGCAAGAAAGTCCACTCAACTCTGCACTCCCCAGGATGGGCAATGTATCTGGTTCATCTGTGGGTCTGGAACACCTAGCCCATGGCTGGCACACCACTGATGCTTAAGAGACACTTAACTAGCAAATGAACAAATAAATACTTAGCGCCATTGGGCACTGGGAAGGAAGCCAAGTTGGTGGGGGCCATGGGGGGAGCATAAGAGAAAGGAAAATGGAGATGAATAGATGAGTCAGCTGGGCGAGCCACCGTTTTGCCAAGAGCTAAGAGTAACCTGTCAAGAGCTATCAGGGAAAGCAAAACCTGAGTGATGGCCCATTGGCCAATGAAGCCCCCGGGCGGGCAATCATCCAATAGAGTCTGGAGGATGGTACCCAGGGCGCCAGGAAGTCAGACGTCGGGTCACTGCACAACCATTCCAAAGTCAGGGGCCAAAGGTCACATCACAGTCCCCACATGTCCTATCTTAAAAGCGCTTCTGCAGCCTACTTCCCGGAGTGGTGTGTGGGACAGAGAGCTCCTGACTGAGGGCGGACCTGGGGAGCAGCCAAGTGGGGCCGGGCGTGGTCACTCTGTTAAGAAGCGCACTGACCTGCACTGACCCTGGAGGACTTTGTGGAAGGCCACCTGGTTTCCAGACTTCATTTCACCCAGACACACACACACATGCATAAGGTTTCCTCTGAGTATCACCCGGAGAGCTATATTTTGAAATTAATAAACAGGTCAGACACTGAGTCAGTAGCCAGAAGTAGGACAGGAAGTGGAAAAAGTCTCCCACTTCCCGCCAGGTGTTTGGGGGCTTAGGGCCTCCCCTCCCCATTTCCATGACGTCATGGTGGCCCCGCGGGGCAAAGGGGGCACCCTTTGAAGCTCTCCCGCAGAAGCCACATCCTCTGCAAAGAGGAGTTAAAAATACCGAGTTAGAGATAGCATCGCCCCAGGCCACGTGCCTGGGCCAGGCTGGCTGGGCCGTTACACCGCCACCGACCGCAGGTGCGACGCGGAGACGGGGAGCTGGGAGGGGCTGCACGCCCCGTCCCCGCCCCTCCTCTGAACCGAGCCCTAAGAGCAAACCTTGACCGCACCTGATTAAACACTTGCTTAATACCGGGCAGGCCCTCAAAGCTTCCGTCCAGCCCACCCTCCCCCGAGGTGTGGGGGCCACATCTGGCCCCCCCCCGGCCCCCCCCACACACACACACAGCTGGGGCTGGCTGGTTCTCCGAGGAAGACCCTTACTCCAGGCCGAGGCTGAAGTGCCGGGTGATGGCCCGGACAGACATCTGCCTCTCGGAGACCAGTAGCCCAGGGCGCGGGAGACCAAGAGGCAAAGAAGGAGCCGCAGAATTGAGACCAGAACCCGAGACGCGGAAAACGCGCCGGGTTTGCACGTCCCGCTCGGTGGTAGTGTCCCCCGCCGTCCAGCTGGGGGCAGCAGCGCTCCACCAAAAAGGCCTCTTTCCCTTAGTCCGTTTTATTCTGGGGAAGGAAAGCCCCCAAAACTTGGGGAAATCTCCTTCAGATGAAAATAAAAGGGCGGGTGACTTTCCTTCCGCGAACGGAGCCCCTGCCCTTTGCCAGGCGCTGCATGGGGCTCCAGAGCTTGGGTGATCCTAGCACCTCCCATAGAGGGAAGCGGCAGGGGACACTACCTGCCCAGCATCATCAGGCTCCTCACATGAAGCGCTAAAGGAGGCGGGGGGGGGGGCGGGGGGGGCGGCGGGGGCTAATGGGAGCCTTAGGTGAGAGGTGGGCATTCAGAATGGGGAGCCTGGACTGGCATCTAGAGTCCACGGCTGCCCTGGCCTTGT